CAAGGCCAAGCTGGGTGCAGAAACGCTGGTGATCACAAGGCGGCAATGCCTTGGTGAAGATATCTGCAGTGTTGGCCTCAGAGACCACACGTCGTACGAGTGCCTGACCACGCTGCTGCAACTCACGCAGAAGGAAATAACGAAGCTGGATGTGCTTCGCCTTCCCAACCAGTCGGGGCTCCTCACACAACAGGACGGCAGACCTGTTGTCGGCAAACAAGACTGGGGGAGAGCGAGGCCGCTCACCAAGGTCGATGAGAAGGAAAGGTACAGCCAGCAAAGCTCCTGAGCGGCCATGGCCGCAGCGTACACCTCTGCCTCATAGCTGGAACCGGCGACGGACGACGCCCGAGTCGACCGCCACGAAACAGCACCTGCCCCGAGACTAAAGGAGTACCCCAGTGTAGACCGACGCGTCTCCGCGTCGTCGGCCCACGACGAGTTCGAATAACCTGTGAGTGTAACTGGGTGCTTCCCTCCAAGGACAAGTCCCATGCCTGATGTACTCGCCACATAATTCGCCACCCTCTTAGCCGCGTACCAGTGGGAAGGCCGGTGTCTCCCAGGCGCAACAAAGCACGCAAGGACGCTAAGAGGGTAAGCTAGGTCTGGGCGAGTACAGGTCATCAGGTACATGAGACAACCCACCAGCTCAGGATATGGACCACTGGACTCAACAGCGTAATGGTGCGAGCTGCCCTGTCCCTGGTGATCTGCAGGCCAAGGTAGTGCTGCAGCTCACCAAGGTCAGTGCAAGTGTGTCTCCTCTGCATTTCCTCCTTCACGGAGGCCAGCGCGCGCCGGTCAGGGGTGGCAAACACCAGGTCGTCGACGTAGACTAGGACAAAGAACGGGGTCGACCCACGGCGAACAAACAGTGACGGGTCAGCAAACGACGGAAAGAAGTCAAGCGCTGCAAGGGTCGAGCGAAGTGTGTCCTGCCACTCACGTGGAGCCTGACGCAGGCCGTAGACTGGTCGACGCAGCTGCCACTGGGTCCCAGGTGGGAAAGAGCCAGTGAAACCAGGCGGGCGACGCAGCCTGATTTGCTCGTGCAGGCTCCCCTGAAGGAACACGGTGGAAAAGTCAAAGGAGTGCAACTCGTAGTCGCGCTGGGCTGCAATATGCAGCAACACCCAAAGAGTACTCATCTTCGGGGTGGGAGCAAAGGTCTAGAAGAAGTCCACCCCCTCTCGCTGACTGAAGCCTCTCGCCACGTAGCGCGCCTTGAACACAGGTGGTGATCCAGGCGGCCGCTTCACCTTGTAGAGCCATCGGCCACTGACGACGTTCGTCCCAGGTGGTCGGACTGTGTCGACGAAAGTGCCTGTGGACCTATAAGATGCCATCTCTGCCTCCTCAGCTGCTATCCAGTACGAGACCCAGGGTCCCGAGACCGCCTCAGCATGATTGCGAGGGATCGGGATTTCAAGAGCGTCCGGATCCCCCTCAGGGGTAAGTAGCATGGCGCAGAAATGAGGAACAGCGGCCGCAAGGAAACCAAGCTCAAGCTGCCTGTCCTCTAGGACCTCCAGGGGAAAGACAGGAGCACCCCCAGAGGACGGAGAACGAGCAGGGCCACTCACCAAGTGAGCGGCGTAGTCAAGGCGGTGGGAAGAGGCAAAGCCAGCGACAATGGTAACAAGTGCTGAGACAGACGACAGGGGTGCAGTCGGGTGAGTGACCAACGCGGACAAAACACGGGAGACGACACGACGGGAGGCACGGAGGTAGTCGGACAACGGGTCGTGAAGCACAGTGAAGGACGAATTAGGGGGCTGTGGAAGGACAGGAGGAGGTGGAACAGGAGAGCGAAGAAGAAGGTGGAACGGACCGTCTGGACGGTAACGGGACCGACGACACTCTGGGGACACAGCAAAACTGAGGGGAGAACGACGAGTCCACTTGGACAAGGAAAGGGACTCAACAGGGGGAACAGGAGGGGACGGTAGGGGACCACGAGCAAAGCGTGCAGGTGCTGGGTCGGGGAGGTCGCGTAGTCGCAGTCGCTGCTGCTCCGCCTCCTCTGGCGTCTGCTGCGACGGTACCGGCCCTTGCTGCTGCTCCTGCGGCTCCGCCTCCGCCCTCTCCTACTGCGACTGCACCTGCATCCGCTGCTGCGACTGGGACTCGTGTGCTACCCTCTCCTGGTGCCGCCGTGACTGCTCCTCTACTCTCTCCTGCTATGTCTGTAGCTGCACTTGCTGCTGCGGGGGGGACTCTTGCTCTACCCTCTCCTGGTGCGGCCGTCACTCCTCCTCTACCCTCTCCTGCTGCTGCTGCTGTGCCCTCTCAAACCGCTCATGCTCCTCCCTCTCCAACCTGAGGAGACGCTGCTCACGGGTCAGGAAACGTATAGTGCGCGGTGTAGGCGCCACAGTGCCAGTGCCTTAAGCTCCAGCACCTCCAAAACCAGCACCTCCACCACCGACACCCCCGGGGCCTCCAATACCTCCCGCACGAACACCCCCAAGCTCCGCAGCACCCGGCCGCAGAGACGAACGAGGAGAAAACTGCGGGGCGGACGGGAAGCCAGGGGGTGAGGCGGGGTGAGGCCACTGACGTGTCCTCCGTGTCCTCCGCAGGAATGACCTCCATGCCCACAACCCCTGCAACCCCAGAGCCGACACCACCAGCTCCTGCAGCCCCAGTACCCTCACCCTCCGCAACTGCACCTCCCGCACCCCGAGACACGACAGGGACTGGACGCGGCGGGGGGGACGACTGCGGAGTGACGTGCGACACACCTGATGGGGCAGGACACGAAGGGGGGGGGGGCTACCGGGGCGACTGGTGGGGGCTCAAGGGTGAGGAACAGCGGGGAGGGATAGGCCTCAGTACCTCGGTGGGGGCGACTCCTGTAGTAACAGACAGACTTGTCAAACGTGACGTCCTGAGAGGCGAAGAACTGGTAGGTAATCGGGTCGTAAAACACCCATCCGTAGGCGTCCAAAGGAAAGCCAAGAAAGACAGAGAGACAACTTGTTCGCGCCAGGGGCGCGAACGTGAGCCAGAGAACCCCAGACACGGAAGTCAGCTGCTACGCCCGGAGAACCTGTCCAAAGGGAGACCGGCGTCACCCGTGGCCGTGCGTCACTGGGCCACAGGTTCAGCTGGTGCGCGGCATAGCGGACTGCCTGAGGCCACAAGAGCTGGGGGGCACCGGCATGGCACATGGAGGTCCGAGCAACCTCCATGACCAGGCCGATGCGTCGCTCGGCTACCCCGTTGTGCTGCGGCGAGGCTGGTAGCGTATAAGACTGAATGATCCCCCGACCCTGACAGAACGTCTCCAGGCGAGTGGATGAAAACTCACCACCACGGTCCGAGTGTAGGCAAAGCCCACACAGGCCTTGAGCGCCACCCCACGCTAGTAGCCACGGCTCGAGGACGGTAGGCATGTCGGCCTTCCGTCACAAAGGGAAAACCGTGGTGTAGCGGGACTAGTCGTCCACCACAATCAGGAAGTAGCGCTCCTGACGTGGCCCAAGGACCGGGGAGGGGCCCCAGACGTCCAAGTGCAGTGTTTGGAAGGGAGTCGTGGTGGGGGGAAACGAGGAGGAGTGAGGGGCAGCGCGTTGCCGACCCTCGACGCAAGGAGTGCATGGCGGTGCAGGCGAGCGGGGAAGTGGTGCAAGCGACTCTGGAGACGTGACACCAGACGGTAACATGCCATCCTACTGAGACGCGGGAACGAAGGGTGACCTAGACGGTGGTGCCAGAGGACCGACGGGTGGGTGAGGGACCGACAGTCACACGACACAACAGCTACCTGACCTGACCTCACCTGACCAAGTGTGGTGGGACCTAGTGTGTAGTGAGTACAGACCAGAGCCCGGCCAAGGCGACAGTGACTGGTGTGCACAGTGGTGTGAGGTCAGTAAAGTCGCGAAAGAAACAGCTGGACGCTCCTGAGTCTAGGGTGAAGGAAAGCTGTGCAGTCTGTGAGGTCGCACCCGAACCAGCTAAAAAGGCTGGTGCTAGATTAGTGGTAGCTGCAGCTCCTACACAAAGACCCTCAGAGGCGCCTGGACTAGAAACAACACACGCACCAAGACTGGAAGTACAAGTCTCTACTCGTGCAGCCGGGAACGGTCCTAGACCAGGTAGGTGAGACGCAACCGGTGCAGTAATGCGCTGGCAAAGACGCGAGGGCCAGTGCGGTGTAATAGCGTGAGGACCAAAACGCTCACGGTGGAGGTCGTCGAGTCGACGGTAGCAGCTGGATGCAGAGTGGTTAGGACTCCAGCAGGTAGTGCCAGCAATGGGGCTTGTCAGGGCCCGGTACCCGCAGGGGCCGACGTCTCGCCCTCTGCTAGCTGAGCCACTCCTGGGGGCGCCACACTTTGGACCCGCAGGCCCCCAATGACGGGAGTGCTTCGGCTGGCCCTGCTGCTGTAGAGCCCTAGTACACGCCATGTGAGCCTAAGCTGCTGCTGTTTCTGCCGGGGGGGGGCAGCCTAAGCTGCTGCTGGTGCGCTGGGGGTAGCCTGTGCTACTTGTGGTTCTGCTGGGGGGCAGCCTATGCTACTTCTGGTTCTGCTGGGGGGCAGCCTAGGCTGCTACTCGTTCTCCAGGGAGCAGCCAATGCTGCTGCTGGTGCGCTGGGGGCAGCCTATGCTGCTGCTGGTGCGCTGGGGGCAGCCTAAGCTGCTGCTGGTGCTGCTGGGGGCAGCCTATGCTGCTGCTGGTTCTGCTGAGGGCAGATCTGGCTGGGGCGGCTGGGTGGGGCAGCGGGTGTGGTACTGTGCAGGTCGGTGTGGTGCAGTGCGATTCAGTGCGGTTCAGTGCGGTTCAGTGCGGTTCAGTGCGGTTCAGTGCTGTTCTGGGCGGTTTTCAGGGGTGGGACGGCGGATATGGTGCTGCTGGCGCCGCTAGCACAGTTCTGGCGGCTGCTTTTAGCTCGTGGGGCAACGGGCTTCAGGTGTGGGGGACGGTTTCAGGGTAGGGCGGCGGTTTCAGGGGGTGGGGGACGGTTTCAGGGTGGTGGGGCGATGGTTTCAGGCGGCGGTTTCAGGGGGACGCGACGGGACTGGCGGTAGGGCGGCTAGACAGGCGTGGCAGCGGGTGGGGCGGATTCTGACGCTGGGAAACAAGCAGGACGCGATGGGGGGGGGGGGGGGGGGGGGGGGGGGACGGGAGGCGACGACGCGGAAGGCGACGGGGACGCGACGGTGAGGGGACGGGAGGCGACGGGGGATGCGACGGGACGGGAATGTGACGGAAAGGGGGGGACGGGAGGCGACGACACGGAGGGCGACAAGGACGCGACGGTGAGGGGACGGGAGGCGACGATGCGGAGGGCGACAGGGAAGGGACAGGGGGCGACGGGAACGGGACGGGGGGCGACGGGAACGGGACGGTGTTGCGACATGGCGGGGGGGACCCGCGGGGGTCCCTTCCTAGCGCGATGTGACGTGCCTGCGGGGGCCGTTTTAGGTCGTGACGCGGGGGGGACCCGCGTTGGTCCCTTCCTAGCGCGATCTGGCGGGCCCGCGCGGGCCGTTCTAGGTTGTGACGTGGGGGGGACCTGCAGGGGTCCCTTCCTAGCGCGATCTGGCGGGCCCTCAGGGGCCGTTCTAGGTCGTGACGGGTGACGGGCGGGGCTAGCGGGCTGACGGGATCGACGGGGAGGGTGCTACGGGTGACTAGGCGCTACTCGTGACGAGGCGCTACGGGTGACTAGGCGCTACGGTCTAGGTCAGGGTACGGGGCGGTGGGCCCATAGGATCTTATCGCTCTATACCATGTCAAAGTAACAACTGCTGAATGAATTGATAGAAAATGTGAAGTACAACCCTAGATATAGGGTATATCTAGGGTTGTACCCTCCAAGGCATGGCCTCCCGTATCCTTGTCACTGGTCTTCCCCGGTCTCTCCCTCCCCTCCCCACGGTTCCCGCCACTATCTGCGTTCCTTGCGTCGAGGGGCGGAAGCGCGCCGCTCCTCACTCCTCCGAGTTCCCTCCAACGGAGGCTCCCTTGCAGACTCTTCACATGGACGTGTGGGGCCCAGCCCGCGTCCGTGGACAGGGTCACGAGCACTACTTTCTGTTCGTCGTCGACGACTACTCGCGTTACACCACAGTCTTCCCCTTGCGCCGCAAGGGTGAGGTCACTGAGGAGCTGATCGACTGGATCCGCACTGCCTGTCGCCAGCTCAGCGAGACTTTTGGCTCGGACCTTCCTGTTCTGCATGTGCACTCGGACAAAGGTGGAGAGTTTTCCTCCGACCTTTTGCGAGCCTTCTGTCATGCGGAGGGCATCCGCCAGTCGTTCATGCTTCCGGCCTCTCCGCACAAAAATGGGATTGCTGAGCGCCGCATTGGCATGGTCATGGACGTCGCTCGTACGTCCATGATTCATGCGGCTGCTCCCCATTTTCTGTGGCCGTTCGCGGTTCAGTACGCGGAGCATCAGATCAACCTCCAGCCTCGGGTCTCCATGCCGGAGACCACACCTACTCTGCGGTGGACAGGGAAGGTTGGCGATGCGTCTGCGTTCCGTGTCTGGGGATCTCGAGCTTTCGTCCGCGACTTGTCTGCGGACAAGCTGTCCTCCCGTGCTGTTCCTTGCGTCTTCCTTGGCTTTCCCCCTGACGCGCCTGGTTGGCAGTTTTACCACCCCATCTCGCGTCGTGTTCTGTCCTCTCAGGACGTCACATTGGACGAGTCGGTTCCTTACTACCGTCTCTTTCCCTACCGCACTGCCCCCCTCCCCCACCCGCCGCACTTCCTTGTGCCAGGTCCCCCCCCGGTAGACCCCCTCCCCCCTCAGGGTCCTGCCCCCTCAGGTGTGTCTCAGGTAGACACAATCGAGCCTGTCGAGGTAGCTGTTGACTCTAGTGCTGCTAGGGGTGCTGAGCCTGCGGGTGTCGGGTATGGGGATGCTAAGCGTGGGGGTGCGGAGCCTGTGGGTGCTGAGCCTGGGGATGCTGAGTCTGGAGGTGCTGAGACTGGGGGTGCTGAGCCTGGGGTTGCTGAGTCTAGGGGTGCGGAGCCTGAGGGCGCTTAGCCTGCGCGTGTGGAGTCTGGAGGTGCTAAGCCTAGCGGTCCTTCGGGTGCTTCTTCCCGTCGGGAGCCACCCTCTCCACAACAGCTGCGTGAGTGGTTTGCTCGGCGTTGGAGCCGTGCTGCTAGAGATGGTGGTGCTACGGGCGCTGGAGGTCCTGCTGCTGCTGGAGCTGCTAGGGGTTATGGAGCCACGGGTCCTGGAGGTGCTCGTACTGGAGGTACTGGAGCTGCTGGGCCTGGTGGTGCTGCTGGAGCTGAAGCTCCTGGAGGTGCTGCTGGAGGTACTGGAGCTGGAGCTGCTGGGTCTTCTAGTGGTTCTGCTAGAGCTGGATCTGCTGGGGGTGCTGGAGCTGGAGGTGCTTCTGGAGCCGGTGCTCCTGTGGGTGCCTGAGTTGGCGCTACTGGAGCAACTGGAGGTGCTGCTGGAGTTGGTGGCGCTGCTGGAGTTGGACCTCCCGCTGGGGATGATGGTGCTGTCCCTGCTGGTTCTAGAAGGCGCTGCGCGGCCGCGGCTGTACTACGTTCCGCTCCTTCAGCACGTTCTTGGTCTTCCGCCTTCTACTAGTCCTGCTCCTTCCTTAGAGTGTCCACCATCTGTACAGTCGCAATCAGAGTTGCAGCCCGCCTCCCCACTGCCTGCTCCTTCTCCTTACACTGGTCCGGTTGGGGGTCTTGCTGAGCGTCGTGAGCCTGCGTCTCGTCCTGCGTTGCCTGTTCGTGCTGCTAGCATTAGTCATCGTGGTTCCCGTCTGCGTCTTCCTTCCGTCCCTGGTACGCACCGGATGGCTTTGCGCCCCTCCACTGCTCCGTAGCGTGTCCCTCTACCGTCTCCTCGTGTGTCCTCTCTTCCTACCGTTTCTGACCCGAAGTCTAACTCCCTTCGTGCTGCTAGTCCTACTGTCATGCGTCTCTTGGCCACTGTTGTCACTGACCCTTCCTTTGAGTCCACTGCTGCGTTTGCCTTAGTTGCTGAGCTTGTCGACTTTGCTGCTCACTGTCGTCTAGACTACGCCCTTAGTCTTGTTGCTGGGTCAGAGTCTGTCTGTCCTCCGTCCGTTAGGGGTGAGTGTGCTCTTGGCACGGACGTCCTTGAGTGCTTTGCAGCCGCTGTACCTCATCTCGTGTCCACGCTGATTGTACCTGAGGGAGACCCGGATGCACCAGACATCCCAACCCCACGCTCTTACACAGAGGTGATAGAGGGTCCCTACTCCTCTCAGTGGCAGTCAGCCATGGACGCAGAGATGGCATCATGGAAGTCCACAAGCACCTACGTCGACGAGGTTCCCCCTCCTGGGGCGTACATCGTCAGTGGCATGTGGATTTTCAGGGTGAAGCGGCCGCCGAGTTCTCCGCCTGACTTCAAGGCGCTTTACGTTGCTCGAGGCTTCAGTCAGCGAGATGGAGTTGACTTCTTCTAGACCTTCTCCCCGACCCCGAAGATGACCACTTTTCGGGTTCTGCTGCACGTCGCTGCTCAGCGTGACTACGAGTTTCACTCTCTTGAATTCAACACTGCTTTCCTATAGGGCAGCCTACACGAGGAGATCTGGCTGCGCCGCCCACCGGGCTTCACTAGGTCGTTTCCTCGTGGTACTCAGTGGAGCCTCTGGCGGCCAGTCTACGGTCTCCGCCAGGCGCTCTGTGAGTGGCACGACACACTAAGGACTACGCTTGCGGCTCTTGGGTTCGCTCCTTCTACTGCCGACCCGTCTCTGTTTCTCTGCACCGACACTACTCTGCCGCCGTTCTACATCCTTGTGTACGTCGACGACTTGGTTCTTGCTACTGCTGACACTGCTAAACTGGCCCACGTGAAGTTGGAGCTGCAGAAGAGACACACGTGCACAGACATAGGTGAGCTGCGCAGCTATCTTGGCTTGCAGATCACCCGGGACAGAGCACGGCGCACCATTACCTTGACTCAGTCACACATGGTACAGCAGGTCCTTCAGCGCTTCAACTTCACGTTATCCTCGCCTGTGGCCACTCCTCTGTCTACTCGCCACTCGCTCTCAGCTCTGCCTTCGGATGAGTCCGTAGAGCCAAGTGGCCCATACCCAGAGCTTGTTGGCTGCCTCATGTACCTGATGACCTGCACTCGACCTGACTTGGCATACCCTCTTAGCATCTTGGCTCGCTATGTTGCTTCTGGGAGACACCGACCATAGCACATGGCTGCAGCTAAGAGGGTGTTGCGCTACCTGTGCAGTACGTCGGGCATGGGGCTCGTGCTTGGAGGACGGGCTTGAGTTGTCCTCACTGGTCACGCAGACGCTTCTTGGGTTGACGACTTGGCTACGCAGCGGTCGTAACAAGGATACACCTTCAGCCTTGGTTCCGGCTCTGTTTCGTGGCGGTCTACCCGCTCGTCTTCTGTTCTTAGCTCTAGTGTGAGGCTGAGATCTACGCTAGGGCCATGGCTGCACAAGAGTTACGCTGGCTCACCTACCTGTTCACCGACTTGGGAGAGGCGCCTCGTTCTCCTCCAGTTGTGTACGTCGACAACAAGGCCATGCTGGCCTTGTGTCAGGAGCACAGACTAGAGCACAGAACGAAGCACATTGCTCTGCGCTTCTTCCTTGCTCGAGAGTTGCAGCAGCATGGTCAGCTTCGTCTTGCTTACATGGTCTCTCGAACCAACACTGCTGATATCTTTACCAAGGCACTTCAGCCTTGTGATCATCAGCGTTTCTGTACTATGCTAGGTCTTGTGCCTACCGGGCTTCATGACAAAAGTTAGAAGAAGAAAGAGGAATGAACTAGCAGAAATGGGGATACAAATAGCAAACCCTAGAAGGGTTGTACTCGCTATAGAGCACCCCACTACAGGCTAGAACATAAGAATAATATTCTGACACTTCACTTGCTTACCTCTTGACTTTGCTTGTACTGTGATCTATATATACCTGCACTTGCATGCTTACCCTTGTTAGGTTGAGATCACTGTCTTGCTTGTTCACCTTGATTAATAATCCTGCATGTGAACTGGCCTTGTGGCCTTGAACTTGTGCTCAGAATGAGTGGTGACGTTGTGATCCACCCTGAGCTTGACCTTACCTTGTTCTCTTGCTTGTCCCCCACTTTTCCTATGGGGGTGTGTCAGAACTATATTGTAGGCTGTAGTGGGGCACTCCTCATGTGGTATAGTAGTGTTAGGGTTTAGTGCTTGTACTCCTCATGCTACTCAATGCACCCAATCCTCGTTCTTATTCTCACACGAATTTCTCAACTAAAGTCAACTGGATATTTCTAGGTTTGGCGGGCTGCCAGTTGGAGGTCCGGATGGGTTGAGTGACAGGCAAAACCTGTAAAACAGCTTGCGAATGAAGCAACACATGAATCGGCGGTCGAGAGTTCG